ACCCACTGGACCTCTTACCCACTGGACCTCTTACCCACTGGACCTCCTCTTACCCACTGGACCTCTTACCGCTCCTAAAGATCTGGAGTCTTTCTCCTGCCTCTTCACAGATCAGCAGAATCTCAGTATCCGCCCTCCCTCCTGTTTCGGAATCCTAGACATAGCTGAGATCAAAAAGCATAGATTTCCCCCAGCACAGGCTCATAGATTCAGCACCACCCCATTGAAGATTATAGATTTGGGGACCCACGTGGCTTTGGGGAGTTGTTCTAGGAATCCATCTTGTGTCTGTAGTTCATTGATTCTGGGACTCTTGGCCTCGATTTTAGTTTTACCTTCGGTACATATCTTATAATACAACTTCCCAACCAGCCAACGCCAATCTGAGTTTTCTCTGCCATTTCAAAGACAGACAACTACCCTGTAAGATCATGAGTCACCAAGAAATGATCACAAATACAGATAATTGGGTGCAGAAAAGGAGATTGGCAGCCTTTTCATAATACCAACAACGATCAAAACACACACACACACACTAAAAACAACCTAAATACCTAATAATCAGGGAATGGTTACATAAATAATAATCCATCTAATCAATGGGAAATTGTGCAGACTATGAAAACATATGCGAAAAACTACTAATAGTCATATAACAAAACTGTATATAACCTCATTGCATTGAAGAAAAGAATACACACATATAGAAAGAACTGAGAGAAAATAAGCCCTTATTTTTACAGTGATTACCACCGGGTGGTAGAATATAGGTGATATCTCTTCTTATTTATGCTTTCCATCACCTTTACCTTTGGTACATATCATACAACTTTCCTTCAAAGTATAAATGAATGAATGAGTATACATTACTTTTATATTTGGAAATAAAACTTTTTTTCAAAGGGTAAATAAGGTTAGGTGCTATATCAGGACCCAGAAAGCTACAGTAAGTCTTTTCTCCTTCTCCTTCTCCTTCTCCTTCTCCTTCTCCTCCTCCTCCTCCTCCTCCATCAGGACCCAGAAAGCTACTGTAAGTTTTTTCCTTCTCCTAAGACTGGCTATTAGGAAGTCACTTTCTCTTCTCATTTTCAAGAGGGGAGGTACTGCCACATTATTAAAGCAATCAGCCACCAGGAGGGTTCTTTCAAGAGCAATAAACTGACCTCTCAAGAGAAAATGAGTCGAGCTCAGGAAATTAGAGCTGGAAGCCCCTACTGAGTGGCCTAATGCATCCCTCAAGAATCAGCACCATATGTATTACACTTTCTGGTGTGGGCACTTTCTTTTCCATTTAATTGTAAATATTTCAAGTGATTGCAATTTCACTGCTCCTTTTCAGACCAGTCAACAAGCTATTAATCCATCTTCCCTGAGCAGAATAGAATAACTCCAGCAAACTTCACAGATGTCCATCTAACTCTCTCGTCTGGACCTGCTAGCTGAACAGGTATCTCAGACCTGGTTCAAATCCTTGCACGTTCACTTTCTTGTGTAGGAGACCTTTACCTCTCGGATCCTAGGTTTCCTCCCTTATCAAAAGAAACATCTCTGCCTTCCTCCCAAAGGGTGCTGTAGGAATTAAATTAGACGATGCATCTAGGAAAGGCATTGAGTGCACATGGTAAGTCATCAGTCAATGTCTGGTGATTCCGGCGTGCTGGACCAGTGCTGAGTTGTCTTCCTGGCAGAGGAGAAGGGTTCCTCGGAGTCAAGAACCTACTCTTTGGTATTTCCCTGGATGACACGAGTGGGTTGGCGTGGACAATATAGCTCATGATCTTAAAATGGCAAAATTCCATTTTGGTACCCAGACCTTGGGCTTAGGCAACTAAATTCACCACCAGCCTCAGATCACAATGATGACTCAGACAGCAACCCCTGAGCCTTTTCACTGTTGAGAAGATCTGCAGTTGGAACACTGGCCACGGGGAATGGAGAGAGGGGATGGAGTGAGAAGTCCTGTTTGCCGAGGAATCAACGGGGTTCGATGGATCGTTCAAGTAGAGACGCAAGGAAAGAAAAGAAGACTGCCTCCAACCTCCCACGATGGTCGACTAAATGCACAGTTTATTGATTCAACAATGATCTATCGAGCACCTACTAAGGGCCAGGAACTGTTCCGGCACAAACGACACCATGGTGACTCAAACAGAAAAAATAATAATAATCTCGGCTCTTGTGCGTTTACCTTCGAGTGGGGGAGACAGACAATAAATAGTAAACAAGTGAATAAACAAGACACTTTCCAGCTGTGAGAAGTGAAAGAACCGAACAGGAAAGGGGTTCCAGAATGAGAGGGCGGAAGGCTGCCTTAGATTTGACAGCCAAGGAAGGGCTCCCTCCAGGGACACAGGGGAGGTCATGCATCCTGAAAGATGAGAAGGAAAAGAAGGTTTACAGGAAGAAGAAACAGCAGGTGTAAAACCTGGGCGTGGGGCCCCAGCCTGGTAGCTCAGTTGGTTAGAGTGTCCTCCGGATACACCGAGGTTGAGGGTTCAATCCCAGGTCAGGGCACATACAACAATCAGCCAATGAATGCACAAATAAGTGGAACAACAAATCTCTCTCTCTCTTTCTCTCCCTCTCTCTCCCTCCCTCCCTCTCTTTTTTTCTTTCTCTCTCTCCAATAAGTAAAAAACAATTTTTAAACCCCTTGGGGTGGGAAAGAACTAGGTGTACCTGAGGAAGAGGAAAGGCCCATGTGACTGGAGCACATAAGAGGAGAGGACAGACTGGAGAGAAGGTTGGGACAGTGAGCAGGACCCATGCACCAAGGACCAAGCCTTGGGGAAGCAGGTGTTTGGGGGGAGACCCTTTCACCTTTGACATGCTGAGTATGAGGCGCCAGAGGGGATCTCCAAACTAAAGATCCAAAACAATGTCCTAAGACCTCGAGACAGTATTGGGGTTCGAGAAAATGCTCAGTTGCATCAAAACCACTGGGGCGTGTTCTAAAAATACTGATTTCTCAAGCGTTAAAAATACAGATTTCTGAGGGGTCGCCCTAGGAAACTATAATTCAAGTGGGTCTTGGTCAAGATCTGGAAATCATTTCTTCAATGCTCCCAGGTAATCCTGATGTATTCATTCAGGAAATATTTCTTGCATTCCTACTCTGTGCCAGGACAATTCTAAGTGCTGGAGACACATCTCTGAGGAAGTTACAGAGCTCGCAGACATAAGCAGTCAGTGAACAAATAAACAAAGTTCAATAGTGGTACATCCACACACACAAAAAGCTGGGGGAATATAGAATAATTATGGGGACCTACAGTATATAAAACTAAAAAGAGGACCTCTCTCTCTCTCTCTCTCTCAGGAAGTGACATTGGGGCTGACAGCTGAGAAATAAGAAGGGGCAGCCATGTGACAGTCTGGGGGAACAGCATTCCAGGCAGAGGGAACAGCCAAGGCAAAGGCTTGGCTGAGAATTCAGTAGATGAATCTAATTCTTTGGTTTATCCCCACTTGATTAACCAACCAAAATGGAGAAGGCAGAGTGGAGAAGGTACTATTTCATCTTTATGCGGTCAACCCAGCAAGCTATCCTAAGCTCCTACTTCGTACCAGGCAACGTGCCAGGTGGTGACAGAAAGATGAGTAAGACTGTCCCCTCTCAGGGAGCTGCAGTCCAGTTTGGGAGGCAGACAACTAAATACATAGGGCCCCATGAGATAAGAGAGGCATCCCAGACCATCACTTCGCCTTCTGAGAAAGCCAAGCAGATGATGAATACTTCCCAGGTGCACAGCTCTCTTTGGAGACTGTGCATAATAAAATCATTTGCATTTCTTTGTGGCCCTGCCAACTCAGCATATCTGAATTTTTGGTGAAGTATTTGCAGCAATGGATATTGCATCTGAGGTACTGTGTAGTAACTATATTTAAGGGACAGTGTCCTAATAATAGCCAACATTTATTGAGCCTTAGATTTACCTGATTTGAGATGCAATCTCATAGTGTTCACACGGTCCCTATGAGGCAGAGACTCTTATTATTCCACTTTTTTTCAGATGAAGAAGGCGGAGCTCAGCAAGGTGAAGGGGCTTCGCTAAGGTCATTCAACTCAGATGTGACAACTTCCCAGCTCTGTCTGGGTTCAAAGTTTCAGTTCCAGTCCCGACTCCCTCTTTCATGAATTGCTTAGCTACTGAGCAATTGCTGTCTTCCCCCTGGTTCCCAAAGTGGATCCTCCCCCCCCCCCACCCCAGTTATCCACCTGGGTTGTCTACACCAGCCAGATCCGCCTGCTTCTCTCTCCAGGGGCCCTGTAGCTGGAAAAGTGGGGGGGAGAAGGATGCCTTGTTTCCACACTTGGGGAAAAGCAGAGGGCGGTGCCCACTGACCGGCTATACTCCACTCCGGTGTCCGGAGGTCCCTGGGCAGCAGGGAAAGAGTTGGGCCCAAAGCTGGGCACCTGTGTTCCCTGCCCACCTGTCGGGGAAAGTATTGGGGCTCCCTGTTCAAGGTCTGAGTAGAACAAGGCGGGAAGCAACTTAGATGCTTCAGGAACCAGACAATACATTGTTGGCGTCAAGAGGAAGTACTAACTGTGTGGCCAACTGGATAGGGTTGGGTCACCTCGCGTCCAGTCGAAATGTATTGAAATTCAGCTGCTTGAAAAAAATGGGCTGGTCGTCTTAGGACGGGGATTGGCAAGTTTGCAGCGTAAAGGGGCTTTGCTTCCCGCTTCCCTGAAACTCCTCTTTACTCCAGACTTGAGTGAGTCAGCTTCCGTCGGAGGGTCTCTGGGTGTGACGTCAAGGGGTGCCTTGCCGCTGTGTCTCGGGCTGGCAGGCTCCCCCTCCTCCCCGCCGCCTCCCCTCAATTCCGTGCTTCCTCCCTCCCTCTGGTCGAGACTGTTGGCCCAAGTCCCTGAGCCCGGGAGGGTGCCAGCGGAGGACGCAGGAGGGGTGAGGTCACGTCTCCCGTGAGCCTCGCTCCGCCGGCTTTTCAGAGGCTCGCCAGGAGTCGGCGGCCAGAGCCCCAGACCGCGCCGACCGTGCGCTCCTCGCCTCCCTGCGCCGCCGGCCTCGCCCATGACTCAGTACGCCCGCAGCTCGAGCTTCAAGACGGCTTTGGACAGCAGTCCCGAGGCCAACACTGAGGATGACAAAACCGAAGACGACGTGCCCTTGCCCAAGAACTACCTGTGGCTCACTGTCATCTCGTGTTTCTGCCCCGCATACCCCATCAACATCGTGGCTTTTGTCTTCTCCATCATGGTAAGTGGGTCACGACCAGGAGCGGCGTGGGGGGTGGGGGGGCCTGGGTGGCGTTGCGGCCCTCCTGGGGACCCAGTGCGCTCTCCACGGCTCCCCTCGTCACGGCCCCGAGCTCCCCGGCCTTTTGCCCTCCGCACCTCCTCCTCACCTTTCTCGGGCTTTTGGAACTCGCCCCTCAACCAGCTGCGCCTCCTCTGCGCTCGTGGTGGTGCCCGGCCCTGACCGAGCCTCCCCTGGGACGGCTTCCACTTCCTTCCAGCGCCCAGGGTGCACGCTCTCTCCAGCCCGGGAAAACTTCTGCCGTGGACTTGGCGGCTTCCCTCCCTGCCTCCTCCGACATTTGTGGGCGCTCGTCCGGCTCTTCCCAACCCACGTCTCTAGAACCTCAACGCGCGCCACCTGGGCAGGCAGCCGCGCCGCGTTCCCTGCGCGTGGGCGCTACCTGCGCTCCCGCGGCGCCCAGCGCCCCTGCTCCCCAGCGCGCTGGCCGGGCTCTCCCAGCATCGGGTCCTTTCCCCTGGGCGGCGCGCGGGGCGCCCCCTCCGCCACTCTCGGGGTCCGCAGGCGACTCCCGACGCCCTCTCCTTGACCCCGGCCCCACGCCGCGGTGCGCCCTCTCTGGGGCAGCAGTTCCTTCTCGCTTCCTCTGCGCCAGCGCCCTCCCGCGGCTCTCCCGGGCCCCGGGCCCACCTTTCCAGCGCGCCGGCTCTCTCGCCAGGCCTTCCTTGGGTGTGCGCTCGCTTCTCTTTCACTCGTTCTACCCCAGCACGTCGTAGTTCTCCTTCATTTGCCGCGCACGGGCCCTGTCCCCGCCTGTCTTGGCGTGCCCCCAGGGCTGCCGAGCGCCCCTCCGCCCCGCCACTGCTCTGCCCGTGCCCAGGACGCTCCCGGGAATATATTGGGGACTCCGCGCAGCTCCGCGCGCCCTTTGCGCGCCGGCCTCGGGAACTGCGCGTTTCTCCCGAGGACCCACAGCGGGCTCTCCCTGCCCGAGCTCACCTCCACAGCCCTCCTCGGCCCTGCTAGGCACCCCGGGTGAACCCCACCAGGAGAGCGACGAGCGCCCACGAGGTCCTCGTCTTACTGATTGGAGCAGCTGGCCAGGGGGTGGCGGCGGGGTGAGGTTCCGACCCGCACTGTCCCGGGACAACCCTAGCAGTGAGCTCCCTCCCCCGCCGGCCCACCTCTGCAGCCGGGCGACGCAACTCCCCAGCCACAGACCCCGAGTGCGGACTGAGAGCCTCCGCACCACCCCCCCTTCAAACCCACCCACATTTGCCCGTGGGTGGCACCATATTCACTTCGTGGGTACTCACAAAGGGACTTGCCCCTTCCCAAGTCCCGCTTTTAGGCTACCTACAGCAACCTCCAAGCGTGCCGGGGTTCAAACTTCGGTTCCACCGCGTTCTAGCTGTGGGGTCGAAAATCCTGCCTCTCTCTTAAACTCGGCCTTTGTGAAATGGGAGTAATCAGAGATGTTTTTGAAGAGTTGTTGTATTGAGATAGTAATTGTGAAAACGCTTGAAAGCGGTGCCCATCAAAGTTTAACTAGATCAAAAGTCACTCCGGAGGCCTTTGCTCACTCTTTAAAATCAACCCCCCCTCCCCAATCACTGTGCTTTTTCCCTGATGCTTTTTGCCCAAAGCACTTCATCCATCTGATATATGATTTTCCTTAGTAGGCTTGCTGTCTGCGTCTCCCTCGTGTGAGCAAGGATATTTGTTGTGTTGTGTGTTGCTGTTTCTTCATCTGGAACAGATTCTGCAGGTGGTAGATGCTCAATAAATGTGAGACGAATGCGTGTATGAATGAATGAGCGGTGTTAATGGCCCGCGATGTCTGCTTTTCCCCATACCAGAGCCCCGGAAGCCACCTCCTCTGGTTCCTTAGAACCCCAGCCAGTTTCCGCCCCTCCTTCCTCTCCCAGGACATCCGGTCCTGGGTTGTTTTTTCAGCCTTGGGGAGGATGCAGCAGCCACATTTCTCCAGACAGCAGCAGGCTCTCTGGCTGGTGTTGGTGCTCACACACTCTACTGGTTTGTTAACGAAGCAGCAGCCAGTTCGCTTCTTTCCTGGTGCCAATGAGTCCAATGAGTCAGACCAATGAGTCCCTGGTTCGATTCCAGCCAAGGGCACATACCTAGGTTGCAGTTTGCCCCTGGCCCTGGTCGGGATCCTGCGGGAGGCAGCCATTGTGTCCCTCTCATGTCTATGTTTCTCTCTCCCTCCCTCTCTTTCTACCTGAAGATAAATGAAAAAATATCCTCGGGTGAGGATTAAAAAAATAAAATAAAAATAAATAAAGCCTCCCCCACACACACCCGCATTGTGCTAGGTACAGGCAGTAAGTGTCGGACACATGGATCAATTTGGAACCTGGAAACCTCATAGAGGGTATGAAAACACACAGCATCAAGAAAATAAAACCCAATTCTAAAAAGAACTTCCTACACCCTCCCGCTGCACCCCTCTAAGGGACGGGGAGTATTTCCCATTGCAGTCGTGCAGATCTGGACTTGGCAAGTTCCCTGATAAAGACTCCAAAGTCCAAAGAACCAAGAGGAAGAGGAAGGCTGTGCTGACCAACACTGCCGGGCGTGTGCCTTCCTCAGACTGTTCGATCCTGGCTCTTTTCACATCTCACCTGTCTGTAATTCGTGATCAATTCAGGTGCACCATTGACCTCGGAGGCATTTGGAAATCTGGGGGAGCATCTGAAGTGTCCCGTTGATTTGGGGCACTGCTGGCATTTGGTATAGAGGACAAGAGTTCTAACACCCTGTAATGCTGGAGACTGCCCCTCCCCCGGTGAAGAATTGCCCTACCCCAAACATCAGTAGTGCCCCAATATCAAGAAATACTATAAGATAATGCAAATTGATAGGAACAAAGACATAAGGGAAATATTGACAAGGCTCAAAACGACTAGTTCCCAAAACTGTGAAAAGAGCCAACAATCTCAAAACAGTATCTTTATGAAACCAAGCCTGAAAAGCATTCTATGGAATGACAAAGATGGAATAGGTACTGGGGAATAATAAAACTACTTTGAAAAATATGTATTTGAGAAGAATGTTTTGAAAGTCTATCCGCTGAAAGTGTGCTTAGCCCTAGCGGGTGTGGTTCAGTTGGTTGGGTGTCATCCTGTGTACTGAAAGGTTGCTGGTTCGATTACTGGTCAGGGTACAAGCCTGGGTTTGGGGCTTGATCCCCAGTAGGGGGTATGCAGGAGACAGCCAATCGATGTTTCCCTCGCACATCGATGTTTCTCTTGTTCTCCTTCTCTCTCTAAGAAAAAAGTAATAATAATAATAATTTTTTAAAAAGAAGAAGAAAGTGCATTTAACCTGTTATCAATTTCAGGGACTCATCTCCAGAATTTCACCCCCTCCCCAGACTGGGCCACTGCTCACCCATGCTGCACATGCCTGTGAACTTGAAAATGGCACCCTATTCTCTATGCAGATACAGCCTGGGACCCAGCTTGGGAGTGGAGCCCGGGCTGGTTGTCAGGTCTCGCTCATCGTGTTCCCAGGTTATCTGGGTGCATCCCTAGTAATCTCTGTTTATTCCAAGTGAAAAGAACCTCATAATGTCCATATGGCTTTTGACCCTGGAGAAAGAATGTTTGTTCATGCAACACATGCTTACTGAGCACCTATTATGTGCCAGGCCTATTCCAGGCATTGGTAGACTCCTTTACCTCTATCAAGGAGAAAATAAGATCAGCATGGTCTCTGCCCCCTGGATCTGGAAGAAGAAAGGTTGCAGGCAAGTTGCAGAGGGTTGGAAAATTTAGCTGGAGTTCACCATCCATTGGTTTTGAGCTGGGATTTGCCACCTCACTCGGGAGACGGAAGTTGAGTCCATATCGAGCCTCCATTCTTGATGATGTCATTTGATACAATCATTTGTACAGTTGAACCAACTCGGTCACCCTAAGTGTGGATACAAAATAGCCGATAACTCTTGCTTGGGTGACTTATAAGACTTCCTTCCTCAGAACTTCTTCTTCCTCACACCTACAGAACCAGTCCAGAGGTCAACCACTGAAGTTTAGATGCTTTCTTGCTATTGGCTATGTTTGTGATTTCTGAGGCTTGGTTTTGTCAACCCTGTAAAGTGAGGGTTGTAACAGTACCTATTCAAATGCTGTTGTGGAGATTCCATGGTAAAAGTTCAATGTTTCCATCTCATTGCAGGAGTATATTTTAGGGATATAAGCCATTGTCTTTTCCAATAGCAGTTTTTGTTTTTTATTGAGACTAACAAATGTGATGAGAATAAAAGCAGTAACCAGTAAACATGTCGCTGGAATGAATAGCTGTTGCAGCCTAAAGGTAAATCTGAATGCTAAACTGAAACAGACAAATCAACAAGGGAGACTTTGGTGAAGCCTGGAGTACTGAACACACCCATTTTTCTCCACTCCCTTCTGAAACCACTTACAATGATGGTAAGTGAATTTCAAAGGGTATAAACACCCAGGGACAAATTCAGAGAACACGAAAAGGGATGAGAGAGGTGAAAAAAAATATATTAGAAGATGGAAAAAGGCTAGTTGAGCCTTGACTAGCTTTGCAGAGTAGATAACATTGCAATTTTAATCCTGCAGAAGAAGATGCCAACACAAAGCAAGTCGATTTGCCCTGCAAAACTCTAGGAAGGCTCAGAGAAAATGGGAGGTACTAACTGAAGATATAGCATCTGAGAGCAGGAATAGAGGGAAGGGCTGAACAGAGAAAGAATCTTTGAAACTCCGTTTAAGGAGCCATTAAACTACCAGAGATCCTCTACCACCCCAGGTAGTAGGCACCTACTTCCTCAGTGACCTGATAGAAGATGGAAGATTTGCCATCTGGTGAGATGAGTCAGAATGAACCTAGACACTAGGCACTGCAGAGTCAAGTTAAGGTGCCATCCTGAAAACAGGATGTGTGGCTCTGTGGTTGAGCGTCGACCCATGCACCAAGAGGTCACTGGTTCGATTCCCGGTCAG